GGACAACTGTGACAGTGCGATGAAGTTTGGATGGTGATGAGGGTAAGCGAACACTGTTCATTTTCGCCTATTGGCGTTGGGAAGAGTTTTCCATATATATATATATATATATATTAAGATTTTTTATATTTTTTATTTCTCAACCCGGACCAGACTTGGTGGGTTGGGGTCCAATTGACTTATACCTTGCTTGGGTTCTATTGCCTAACTTACGCCTAGTTAGGTAGGATATGAACCAATGTGGACCAAACCCTACCCGGCCCATTTACAGCCCTACTAGATAGGGTTTCTAACAAAGGAAGGAAGGATGTAATCTTTTGGTAATAGCAATGGTAATAGAAAAATAGACTAGTCAACCTTAAAGCTGGCTCTATTTTCAATAGCAAAACAGCCTCGAGAGCAATGGGTGGTTTAGTAAATCTGACCACACATAACCGCCTGACCTTTTCAGTTTTAACCAATCTTTGGGCAGACATGAACCTGACCCGGCCCATTTACAGCCCTACTAGATAGGGTTTCTAACAAAGGAAGGAAGGATGTAATCTTTTGGTAATAGCAATGGTAATAGCAAAATAGACTTGTCAACCTTAAAGCTGGCTCTATTTTCAATAGCAAAACAGCCTCGAGAGCAATGGGTGGTTTAGTAAATCTGACCACACATAACCGCCTGACCTTTTCAGTTTTAACCAATCTTTGGGCAGACATGAACCTGAATATATATACCATAAAGGGACTCTACCAGGTTTAATATTTTTCCAATGGGCCGGGCCTAGGCCAGCTCATCAGGCAGCACCGCAACAGCCAACTTAGACAGTTGCACCCGCCGTCATAAGCTAAGCCTGCAAGAACTGGACCTCTTAAACCCTTGAGTGAATGCCCACCTCTGGGAACTATGGTTAATCTAACAGATTGTGGATGCACCCCTTGTGTACCTTTAGTGGACCTGCATTCTCCGTTGCACACTTTGCTCTAATTCATACAAAAATATGACAGCATTTTGTTTATGTAAACCATATGGCCTAGATATGGCAATACCATAAACATATGGAATACTTTCTCATGTTTAGAACCCAATCATATCCAATTTCATTTTATCCGCATAGCAGTGCAGGCACTAATATGTGTATGTGTGTGTGTGTTTAGAGATAGAGAGAGATTCTCATATAGAGCAACTGAAAGGCTAGGAACAAAATGCAACAATCACAAGCTAAACGCTACATCTGAGAAAGATCTGGGGAACTCCTAGGAAGATGCAAAAGCCCATCTCTCTTAGCCATTTCATAGAGAGCAATTGCACAAAGAACTTTAGAATCAGCAGTCATGCGCCAGACCTTATCAAAAGGCACAACGTGTACCTTTATCAGTTCCCCGTGCTCACGTAGACCGATTTCTTTCCCTTGCATTGCTTCTATAACCTCTTTCTTCACTTTCCCTCTATACATCAATAGGCTTATCTCCTCATCACTCCCACCCTAACAAGATAAAAGGAAGCACGTGCTTCAGTGCAATTCGAGATTTGCTCAAGATGAGAAGTAGCAAGTTCAAGGGTTACTTCAAAAATCCCAATAAAATTCAATTTCGCAATTCACTTTGATGCATGAAAGGGAGCTGCAATGAGAGATCATACCGGGGATGGGAATACTTTGCATCCAGTGGATGGGTTCAGAAAAGCAGTGAGGTTCACCAAATCATCTTTATTTAGGTAAATACCAACCTCCTCTTCAACCTGCACCACACTAATATGATTTAACCCACGTTATAAGTCCACAATGCAGAGCAAACCTTTAAGGCCTAAGTGCTAGAAGGCCAATTTATTAAGCTAAGGAGGAAATCAAAAAGGTTTCAAGGCAGTGAGATCAGGCAAACAAGGGTGTTCTTGACCCAAAATAGGCAAATGAGAACCTTGCAGATTTTCAACAGTTCTCGTAAAAGAATTCCATGAATTTCGTAATTGATCTCATAAGAACAAATATTGGATCATAACCTACTATTATCGATAATAATAGGGAGCAAATTAAGCAAATCTCTTTTTTAATTGTCCACCTATTTCTTTTGATTATGCCACCCAGTACATGGTGGCAATACTGATGGGCTCATTAACTTGACCACCAACAAAATTGGGTGGAATATTGAAAAGGTCAGTGGCTGCCATGAGCTGTTGACACTAGTGCTCCAATCATCCTATGAAAGATCGATCAACTAAAACATTTTCTCTTTTTTATCTGAGAAGTTCTCAATTTATCATTCTTAAAGCAAACCCGTCAAATCAGATTATAGTTAACTCTTCTCAAAAAAAAAAACCGTGAAACCAGATTAGCTACTTGATATTAAGATCTGCAACATGACCATGTCCAGAGGTCAACTTCAGACTGTTATTTCTGGTAATCGTACCACCTTAGTTTAAAATAAATCTTCTAAATATAAAACACAAAGGAATACAAGCAGAAGAGAAATAGGATTAGTAAGTTTTCCAGCGTTTTTTTTTTTTTGATGATTAGTTTTCCAGCAAATGTGGAAGTCAAGCACATTTTCCTTCTCATAGAATACCCAATAAATCATAGAAATGCAGTTTTGGCTGGCAAGCACTCAAAAACTGTTAGAGAAAAAAGCACCTAGACTAGAGTTGAATCGCACCTTCACCACACTGGTAAATTGAATAATTGATTGTTTTTTTTTCTGCCATGTTCAATTAAATAAGCAAAAATTAAGGATATTACTAGAAATCAATTCTCTTAAAGTCTAGAATTATAAATCTCAGTAAGGTCAAAAAGTTAGGATCAGTTCAATAGAAGTCGATTTCCAAAAGTCTAGGACTCCAATATAAAGTCACTTAATTTATTTTTAAAATTAATTTAATCAATCTACCTCCCTCCCTTCCCCTCTCCCTCCCTCCTACACGCACACGTATGTGTGTCTATATATACACATGTATGTGTGTACATACATGTAGCATAAACACACACAAGCACACGAGCACACAGTGTGTGTATAACATGCTCACATGCATTGTACAGGTCACAAACTAGTTATCGTTATCCAAAAGAAACTTCTTTTATTAGGTATTTTGTGCTTAAGCCTCCATAAGTGACTTGAATCTATATAGTTGTGTTCATAAGTAAACAAGTTAAAGGATGGATGAGAGAATAAGAGCCTGACCTCTCGAACTGCAGTGCCAACAACATCCCCATTGTCATCATCCAACATTCCAGCAGGCAACTCTAAAATAGACCTTCCGACAGGTACCCTAACCTGACAAAGCCAAAAACTTATATGTTAGACCAACCATACTTTGACACGGTCAT